ATCAGTATCATGGCCGTGGTCGAGGTGGAAGCGGTAGTACTTGTTGGGGCTCTTCTGGTTCGGGGCAGTCTTCATCTTCTCTAGTTAGTGTACTATAGGATCATCCTATATTTGGAATAGGATATGCTCCACAGAAGCATTGAGCGACTTGAAGGCTTGTCACTCTCTCAGAGAGGAGGGTCCAAGGCGGTCATTGATAGATATTCTCTCTGTCTTATTTTTTTGTTCTCTGCTTCCCGTTTGTCCTCACGGGTGTCCTTTCTATTCTCGCCCCCATGAGAGGACTCACCTCGTTTGACCTTGGTGACATCCTCGACATTCGTGTACTTTTGTGCCCTTGACAGCAACTCGAGGATGTTGGAGGGTGACTTATTGAGGATGGAGAACATAAAGCTGCAAGAGAACAGACCCGTGATAAAGGCCGCCAGGGCTACCTTATCGTCTGGCTCCTTGATCTGGAGAGCATCCTAATTGAAACGAGTGAAGTAGCTTCTAAAGTTTTCATCCCTGTCCTGCTTGATGGTGAGCAGGTGGGTAATAGACTTCTGATGTCGGCGTCCCCCAATGAAGTGGGAGACGAAAGATCTACTTAATTCTGCGAAGGAGTAAATGATGGAGGGTTTGATGTTTGTGAACCATTGGCGAGCAGACCCTTTAAGGTGGTAGGAAATGCTCTACACATAATCTCCTTAAGCATGTTATGGAGTTGCATAAGAGATTTGTATGTGTCAAGATGGTCGAGGAGATCTCTGGTACCATCGAAGATCTCGATCTTAGGCATCTTGAACTTCGAGGGTAAGAGATAATTGACTATGTCTGCGACAAAAGTTGTATCAGTACGTCTTATTAAGTAATCCACCATTTTGGGCGTCTGTGCCTTGATGGTGTTGAGGGTATCACCAAGTTTGGTTTTGCACCTTTCTGATCTTCTCATCCCATTGGTTGGAGACATCTTCCATTGGGTGGTGGTACTAGTTTCCATGATCGCCAAATTAGCTCTCTCCTTCGTCCTCTTGTGCAGGTACATGTGGAGGGGGAACACGTGAGCTTCCTGCGCGTTGAGGAAAGACTGTTGGGCAAAAGGCCACATGGTGAGGGGCTGCCTAGCACCCAGAAGGGATGGGTTGCTGCTCCTCTCCTATTGGAGGGAATGAGGTTCCTCCCACGGGGTGAGGAGCGATGCCTTCCTAGGCGAGTATCAACTGAATAATCTACTAATTTTGGTTTATCAGTAACTGCATAGTATATGGAAGCTGTTGCCCGACGACGGGGGTTGCCGTAGTAGATGGTTCTAAGGGTGCGAGGGGAGGCAGAGCCTCCTCCCGGTGGGCCTGGTTATTGTCTCCCGATTGTTGACTCATCGATCTTGTCGTGATTACCATGGATTAAAGAGAGTAGAAAACCTAGTCATTTTTTATAGACGGCGCCAAACTGATGATGTACAAAATTGTCTCGTGTAAGATCAACAGTCGAGTATATGTAAGGGTGCAATTAATGAGCAGTAAATAGACAATTAATGGCTAAATAGTAAATAAGAGCAGACACACAGATATATAATGGTTCGATTCAAATGACCTACTCCACTCTCGAAAAATGACAGCGGTGTCTAGAGTTCTTTATTGATGAATAAAGTAACCGGAAGAGTAGACTCTGACGAAGTTACAATGCTTTAGGAAAGAGAAACTTGATATGTAAAGAGAGGTGTGTGAGAGGTTGAGGTGGCTTGAGGTATCAAGGTGATGCTCTCTATGTTGAGAGGGCTTACATTGTATAGATATGATGAGGCGGTGACGTGAGGGAGATGACACTACTCTTTTGCTAAGTACAATTAAGGTAGAATTTGATCTCCATGAATGCATATCCCGATATTCTTTCTCTCCCACGTGCTCCTATCTCTCCGGACTTCTTGGATCTTGAACTGGATCAGAGCTGCAAAGTGGATCTGGGCCACCCTTTAGCTGACTTGGGTCTTCTTGATTCATTGGGCCTGATCCAGTTGATTTTGGGATCGTCATAGTATTTTTTGACATGAACCTGCTAAGCCTAACATGATCTCACCCAACCCACCGGACATGATTAACAACCTAAGTCACAATATTCTTTAGAACTCATTGCTAATTTAATCATTATAGTTGACTAGATCAATTTATTATATCAATAAATTAAGTCCTAACAATATTATTGAGCCTAAATATGTAAAGATAGAACATAAAATACCACCATATCAGTGTCCCGCCATCCTAATTCTTTTATGAATCTCGTTTTTGGTCAAACTAGCATTATACATAACACAAAGCTCACCAAACACATCCCCACAACTCTTTTTTTTGGTAGTGGTGTTTGCAATAGGAGCTGAAAATTTTGGGTCCAACCAAGCACGTAAACATTTTAATTTTTTTTTTTTTGGGAAGAGAGAAAAAGAAGAGATCGAACTAGAGTGAGCCCTTACCACTGAGTCAGTATCTTAACTCACCGAGCATGTAAACTTCCAAAGTGTCAACATGACTCAATAGATACTTCTGAGGCTTAATTAACATGTCTACCAAGAAGCTCATAAATGCCAGGAGCCGTGTGGCCATGGCAGCTGACTTTAATTACATTTTGCAGTTGGTTTAATGCTCCACTTATCAAAGCTGTCAACAAGTATGAAACATTGAAAGTCAAGACTCTTCACAAGTCCATAAAATCTGCACTTTCCAATTGGGATAAGAATGATCCATCTTGTCAATGTTGTCTAACTTCTTTTAAATTGGAAGACTTGGAGACTTGGAATAGCCATAAATGCCATAGTCCGTATATCATTTAAAAGATCAACCCTAAAAATTTACTGCCAACCTTCTCTTCTTACCTCTTCTTCTGTGGTTTTCTTTTGCTCTAATGGTTAATACAACCGGTTAATCTCATATAAAATCGATACAGAATAAACAAATATGACCCTATCGGATTTAAATTGCAGATGGATTGACGGTCAAACATGTTTCCTAAATGAATCATCAAAACCTTAGCATAACATAGACATCAATTTAACAAACCACATCACAAGACTTGCAAACCCAATTTTACGCAACTAATGGATTGAATATGTATTGAATAAATTTTAACAAGACAAAACTTAAAAACTTGACACGACCCGATTCTTTGACAACCCTATACCGCAGCCATTACAATGGTTAATCTGGAACAAGGATTTCATATGAGAGCAAAATTGGGGTTCACTTGCCCATTTGTAATGCGTTGGTGAGGGATGAAGAAGAGTACACGTTCCTACGGGAACTGAATAAAGAAACATGAGACCGAGCTTTGGTTCATTTTTCCGACAGCTTCGTGCCTCGACTGGTCTTTCTCCAGCATGTACACGTTCACAGCTTTGAGTTTTCACTTGCACATTCTATTCACTTAGACTCCCAGACTCTGTGCATGCATATTCTTCTCGGACTAAGCAAGTATAATATTTTACAACCAACGTTTGACTGTGTTAAGGGTGTGTTGAGTTCATTGATTAACATGAATAACAAATGGGTTATTTTAATTTCGTTTAACTGATATTGATATTATAAGAATATATAAGATCATTATTCTTTTATTTATCAAGCTATAGTATAGTATGAATATGAATTGCAATAACAAATTTCAACAAGACACGAATGCAAAAAATATATAACATTACCCAAATTTAAGAAGAGATCCAAAACCGCTGCACCACCTCAATATTGTAAAATCACCCTATAATAAGTTTAACAATTAGACAAAATGAACATCATTTCTTAAAATAATCACTCTTTCATGTAAGATAATAACCGTCATATATTTAAAAAATAGGATTCACTAGTCTACTTGTTTGTTTATTATTAAAATGATTACACCATGAAATGAATGTCATCATTTTGCGATAGACCATAATCCTAGACTGAATTTTCAGAATTTTGGAATAATATATTCTTAAACCGAAACAACTTTTATACAAGATTTTGACCTTAATTTGGAACGGGAGGTCATTTCTTGCCGGATCGTATCTACGTCTAGTTAGACCCAATATTTACTCCATCATTGAACTCCATTATCCCAACTAGTAGATATCTTCGCAGTTCACTGATACATGTATTGACTTTCCCAAGATGATATTGTAATAGGAAATTAATTTCTCTGGAATATTTTATAAATGTGAAAGCTGTATAGGGTGGATTAAAAAAAGGGTTTATAATTAATTAAGCACATAAACGTGATTAATTATGCAAAACTTGTGAAACAAAAACGCTGCAATGCAAGAAGACCATGCAAACAAAACAACTATTTGTCAACATTCAAAGCAAAGAAACGAAAATGTTGAAATAGGAAACACAGGAAGATGATGGAAACAATGAGATAGAAAAGACAGTCTACTGCAAAAATCAAAGGCAGCAATGAAAGAGACCGCACAGAGAGAGGGAGAGAGAAGAGAGAGAGACAGAATTGAATGGGGGACTAGGTCTGAGGGAGGACAAATATGGTGTCACAAGCACCCGTACACAGACAACGCAGTACACCATTCCGGTTCTCCATTATAGGCTATGCAAATTGGTCCACAACTTCAATAACGGCTGATTTATTTAGCTCCAAAGTCTTCTACAACTCTTGAATGCAAATGCAAATGAAGGTTGACGAGTGAAATAAATTTGACTCAATAAAATTTTGAGACGGAGACGGAGAGAGAGAGAGTGAGAGGCAGAGGCAAAGCCGACATGGAGCAAGGGGAGGACGAGGAGATGACAGCTGTGAGCGGACTGAAAATGAAGCCCTTGCATGTCAAACACGTCTGAAGCTACTTGGACTTTTAATCAGTCCTTGATGAGCACTTGATAATTGCAATCTAGAGAGAGAGAGAGAGAGAGAGAGAGAGCGCTTTACCCTGTTAGATTACCTACAATTTATGGACTAGCCTGACATAGACTATTTAGATCTCCTGCAAAAATAGAACAGCTTAACATCTAAATTCAAAGTTCAGACAAGCATAGACAAAGAAACTGCAGTTAGATAATGCTTTAGTTAGAGCAATGGCCCATCTTAAACCTCATAACTCAGCATACAAAGAGATACAAAACAAGTTAAAATCAATTCAAAATAACAAAGAAACTACAGGGAGGTTAAGGAAAAGATTAAGGACCCTAATCAATCTAAATCTCAAGTGGTGATTCATGATGATGGTAGAGAAATTACAATTTTTTGGTTGTCCCACAGAAAGAAAAAAAAAAGGGCAGTGGAAATTAGGGCTTTTTACCAAGAGTGTGCTTGTTGTTGTGCATCCAAACCTTGAGGACTTGCCTCCTTACATTAGTCTCTGAGCAAAACTGCTGAACCGCCGCCTCGTCGTGTTTCTGGATGCGCCACCCTAATCTATCCGCAAAACCCAGCATTTTCTCCTTCTGCTCCGCCGTAAACTTGGTCCTGAACCTCTTCTTTGAGCCCCCAACACCACCACTTCCGCCACCGTCACCGCCACCGCTACTACTCGGATTGGACATATCTTCGTCTTCTCTTGAAGTCGAAGGTAGAGCCAAAGGCCTGTGGGCGGGCGGAGACGTCATGTGGAGGTAACCAGAAGGGTGACCAGTGCGGTGGTAGTAAGTTGAAAATTGGTGGTTGTGCGGTGGTTGGTGGTAGTGGGGTTGGTGAAAACACTCGCCTTCGATCTCTTTGCGGTGGAAGTTACGGTGACAATTGCAGGCTGCGCATTTCAAAGCGTCTAGTGTTCCTTCTTCTCCGGCCGACATGAACTCTCCGCAACCGTCTACGGCGTGTCTGCCGATACCGACCGCGTGGTTCTTCAGACACTCTCTATACGTGTAGCCACCAATACCACCACCGGCTTTTCTTGCCGCTGATGATGCACCCTCTCCTCCACCCATTTTCTCTCTCCCTGAGTTCCCCGGTGTCTGGTAATTCCCGAGAACCTGAGCTCCAATTTCTTCTTCTTGGTCTTCATGCTCATCAAAATCCATTCTTTCTCTACACCCAGAACTTCAATTCCTTACAAATTAAACGCAAAAAAAAAAAAGATCTACATCTGTGTAGCTAAAGCAGATCCACCACAACTGTCCCTAGCTATATATATGAACAGCTCATAAACACAAGTAATATGGAGAGAGAGAGAGAGAGATAACACACGATAATTGATGGGTTTGTTCTAAGATGAAGAAGATAAGAGGAAGCTGAGGGTGTGGACATCAATTACCCGCCTGCAAAAAAGGGGGGTCTTTACTTAAGGGCTTTGATATGCTTTCCCATCTTTGAAATCTGTCTTTTTTCTCCACTCTCTCTCTCTCTGCCCTAATTGTTTTCTCTCTCTAATGGTGTTTACCGGGTGTTGGTGGTAATTTCAACTCCCTTGGGTTAGAGTATCCACTGTTTGTCTAATTATGGCCACTGTTTCTGCTTCTTTTTACTTTTGCAGCTTCAGAATATTTGCTTGGGTTAGGAGGGCAAAAGAGGAAAGAAACTGATATTATTTTTCAGTGAGCATTTGAATGGAAAACAGTAGTGTATAGTGAAATGAAAAACGATATATAATCTAAATAAAATTTAAAAATTAAAACTTAAATATATATATATTTTTATGAGTGTGAGATGAGTAGGTCCCAATAAAAAAATTAATGAAATCCACTAATCCAATTGATAATATGCATTTGAGGTGCAATTTTTTAAGTTTTATTTAAATTTTATAGCATTGCTTATGGTAAATACAAGAACATCTTCGTCTATAACTCAAATTTTGAAAACAAGATTTAGTAAAGAACACTCTAATAGATAAATTCAAATATCTATTCAAATTTTGAAAAAAATTTCCTTTGTGTCCCAAAGTTCATTTTTTAAATTTTTTTCACCAAAATATTTTATCCTCTCTTATTTTATTGTCTTCATTTCCTCCCCAATATTTTGAGTTATTTTGATTCAAATTTAAATTTGAGTTAAGTTTGAAGATACTCTAATAACATAAAGAATGAATTATTTACAGTTTGCAAAGAAACAATTGTTTATAGGCAATCGATTAAAGTTTGAGAATTATACTAACTTATTGGAAACCTCAACATTAATTGATTGCCGGTAACATTTAATTTATAAACTTGTTTGTAAAGAATTTATTCTCAATGACGTAACAGCCATGATTTAAAGTTTCATTTCCAAATCATATTTTTATTGAGTTATTTATCCGTAAATAATTCTATTTACCAATTCGATTTACCAATTTAGAATTATTTACCAATATACAATTTTTTAAAATAAATTTATCAATATATGGTAATTTTGAATTTATTTATCAATTGATGGCATTTTTAAAAGCAGAGTCAACAAATCAGTTTTCATGTAAAAAGTGGAGTCAACAAATTTGTTTTCACTTAATACAGTACATCTTTAGAACAGAGTCAATAAATCTAATTTTTAAAATTCTGATAAAGCCCCTTTGATAGCGGATTTGTTGACTCCGTTTTTAAAAAATTGTCGTAGATTGGTAAATAAGTTTAAAATTGCTGTAGATTGATAAATTTGTTCAAAAACGGTTGTACATTGGTATATAATTCTATTTACTGGTGTACAACACTTACTAAACAATATTACCAAAGTATGACACTTTGAAATATATTTACCGAATTATGACTCTTTTTAAAAACGGAGTCAACAATGGGGTTAATAAAAGTGGGATTGTTGAGTTAGTTTTAAAAAAATGTCGTGATTTGATAAATATATTTCAAAGTGTTGTATTTCGGTAATATTGTTTAGAAAGTGTTGTACATGGTAAATAACTCAATTTTTACTAGTAAAAAATATAAGCATTTCTAAAACTTAAAAAACGCAAGGAAAAGTCGTATTTTCATATAAATAAATGAAAACCTTTGAAATAAATTGTAGTTATATTAATAAGTTCTTATTTTTATATTTTAACAAGCTAATAAAGGAAAAAAAATAATCAAAAATCAATTAGACGGTAAACTATTGTGATTGGACCAATTAAATTTCATGTAAATTCAAATATGACCATCCAAATGTACAATATTTAACATGATTGCTATTAAATTATTGATTAACAACCAAAATTTCTATTTTATTATATTTAATGATTGATTAATTGTATATTTTTTATGATTAAATGTGTTAAATTCCTTGATTTTCTAATTTGATACTTTTTCTATTTATTTGGTTTATTTTACAGGTAAGTTGGTTGATTTAAAGTAATAATGGAAAATGCAAGTGAATCAATAACTAGAGGAAGAATCACAATTGATAAGGATTGAAGAGTCAAGATTGAAATAAGAAGACTTCAAGATATGACAGCAATTTAATCCTTAAAATAGTCAAAGTTGGAAGAAAACTCATTTAGAGTTAGATTAGGAAAGTATCCTAAAAGATAAGAATTTGACACGTCTTCAGTTTTTTGGTCATAACTGTTGACTTTGATATCCTATTTACTTGATTTTATGGTGTTGGAAAGAAGACTTCAATGGCTACAAAAGTGTATTTCACAAAATTTTCGTGATTCAACCTCTAAATATGTGAACTTCAAGCTCGAAGTCTGGACAGATTTTGTACCTGCGTCCCAAAGATTTTATGTACGAGATTTAACCTTGCAAGACTTCTTTTTGGAAAAGGATTCCTTTCGACTTGTACTTATGATTTATTTTTTGTATAAATAGGGGTTCTTATTTAGAGATTATGATTATTCTTTTTCTCATCTTTTTGTTTTGATTTTAGTTCGTCATGTCTAGTTAGAAGGTTAAGCTAGGGCTAGGGGAGAACTTGTTAACAAAGTTTTTGCTCTGTAAAAATCTTTGAGTCGTTGTGTCATATATATCAATTGCTTAAATTTCTCTGCGAGTAAATAACTGATTATTCCCTGCTTGAGGTTATTATCATTATTTCATAAAATAATATAATTGTATGATTATTAAGGTTCCTGAATAATCTTTTGATTATAACTTTTGGTTTTTTTACTTGATTTGTTACTCGAATCAACCGACATCTGATTCTTGTTTCAAGTTAAGATTTGAGTCTTTAATCATTATTGTATAGAATTGAGAGGGAGTACTTGATGCTCTTGTATTTTTTTTATATTACTGTTTTAATTATTTAAATCAATTTTTTTTCACTCAACAATTTCCTAAACAAATCATTTATTTTTAAATTTGTTTTAGTATTTGTGTGATTGTTTTCTTGTTACAATTCTTTGAGGGTTCGATCTCGGTCTTCCGAGAATTATATTACTTCACTCAACCTGCGCTTGGGTTTACAATATTGAAGTTGAAGCAAGTTTTTGACACTGTTGTCGGGAGTTAAAAGACAAGAAGCCATCACATCTTTTGCGGTTTTCGGTATTTGCGATTCATCAAAAATCCGATAACTTCGTTCCAATTTTATTGCAATTTATTTTCTTTTTGTTATTCAATTTAGATTTATATTTATTTAGTTTGTTTAGTTGTTTTATGAGTTCTTGGCATCGTGACTCAAGTAGTCGTTTAATAAGATAAGATTTTGATACTCTGTGTGGAAATCTATTTGGTTCATTCGATTTAAATCATTCTTTGCATACAAGGGTTGTTGATCCTTACATGAATAAACAAAATAATCTTCTTGAACATGAGGATCATATTGATAGAGTAAGTAAACATGATGAGAACGATGTGGATAATTTAAATGTTAATCATGGTAGGACTTTGCGTGATTATCTACAACCTGCACGTCACACTACACCATCATGCATTGTTTTTTCATTAAATGCCACAAATTTTGTCTTTAAACCTAGCATGATTCCATTACTCCCAAAATTTATTGGCTTAGAGTCAAAAAATCCCTATTTACATATTAGAGAATTTGAGGAAATATGTGTTACGTTCCATGATCAGAATTTTTCATTAGATACAATCAGGTTAAAGTTGTTTCCATTTTCATTAAAGAAAAGAGCTAAGACTTGGTTTTGTTCACTTAGATCTAGGACATAGGTACATGGCCTGAGATACAAACATAATTTCTAAAAAGCATATTTCCCACGCATCGCACAAACTCTGTCAAAAGACAAATCATGAATTTTTCTCAAAAAGAGTCTGAAATTTTTTATCAAAGTTGTGATAGATTTAAAGACCTCTTTGAATCTTGTCCACATCATGGTTATGAAAGCTGACGTGTAATAAGTTTCTTTTATGAAGGATTGAGTTCACAAATGCATCAATTTGTAAAAATGATGTGTAATGGTGATTTTATGAATAAGGAACCTGAAAAGACCTTAGATTTTTTAGATCAGTTAGCCGAGAATGCACAATCTTGAGATACTAAATCTCAAGAACCCACTAAAGGTAAGATTACACAATCATCATCATAAAATGCGGGTAAATAGTAGCTGAGGGAAGAGGATGACCTAGGGGCTAGAATTGTCACCTTAGCTAGGAGGGTAGATGTCATGGAATACAAAAGGATTAATGAGGTTGACACAATACCTGTTGAGGAGGTTTGTAGTTTTTGTGAGATCCCTAGACACCCTATGAAGGAGTGTCTAACATGACCTGTTTTAAAAGAAGTTTTGCATGATCAAGCAAATGCCACAAATACTTTTTCAAAACCTTATAATAATCCTTATTCAAATACATACAACCTTGGGTGGAAAAATCATTCAAATTTTAGTGAGAGGGGTGAGAATCATGCATCACAATTATCTCAACAAAATTCCTCTAATTGTATACCCTATGTTCCACCCCCAAAGAGGGATACTGAGGAAGTGTTGTCACAATTCATGCAAAGTCAGACAAATTTTAACAATTATTAGACAAACTTTAACAATTAGTAGGAAAATTATAACAGACAAACTTCACAGGCTATTGACGATATCAAGAGTACACTCAATCAAATCACACAGACTATAAATGATATCAGGAGCACACTCACTAAATTGACCACTGCCCCATGCCATCAGGAAAAGGGTAAGTTTTCAGCCTATCCCCAATCAAATCCGCAAGCTCAATTCAATGTGAATGAAATGGGTACATCAGACACTATTCATGAGCAGGTAAATTCTATCACCACACTTTGTAGTGGAAAACTAATTGACAAAACTATTCCTACTAAAGTTCAAGAATCTGATGAAATTTCAAAACCTATTGAGAGTGGTGATAAACTTGACCAATCTGAAATCAATAAGCTTGAAAAGTATGTTATACCTACACCATTCCCACAGAGATTACTTGCTTCTATCAAGCCAAACACGCACAATGATGTGTTAGAAATTTTTAAGCAGGTGAAAATTAATATCCCCTTGTTAGATGCCACTAAACAAATACCGTCTTCT